GCGAGAAATCACCCCCCAGGGGGGATGGTCACACCGCAATCCCTTCTCCTCCATTCTCCTCTCGGGATCTTGGGCACGCACGCACACGCGCCCGGCATGAGTTTTAAGCCACCGGGTCCGGGACGCGAACCGCGGTCGACTACATGGGAGTCCAGCGACATAGCCATTACGCTAAATGCTGGTTCCCTTGGCAAAAATCTAAAAAAAAAAAAAAAAAAATTAAAACACAAATCTCTGTTCTTGAAAGAAATCAGCAAAATCACGGCTGTGCTTTAAGAGATCAGAAGGCTTCCTGTGCCGCATCCGCTGTGCCTGGGAGGCCAGTCGCCATGATGGCAGGCCGCTGTTAATATTTGTGGGCGTGACTCTCCCAGGCCCCCTGGAAACCACTTTGGAATAGGAAAAGGTAGCCAGAATTCCATCCTCACGTCCGTGGGTGAATACGAATATTGCTGGTGTCAGAGCCCAGCGTCAGCAGGGCTCCCAGGCTGTGTCCATAGGTTCGCATCCCGGATGAGTGAGAAAGGACTGCCCTAGAGCAGTATGGTTCACCCCCCCCAAGTTCCTCCCAAAGTATATGCTCCATGGAAACTCCTCACTGAACTGACTCAGAGCCCAGATCTGTCACCCCCCAGCACCAAGGCAGGAGGCAGGAGCCTGGTGGCGCTTGTTGGGTTACCTTGGAGCAGAGGGAGCACCCATGACCCCTTCTGAAGACCTCTCCTGCCAGCCCCAGGGCAGTGTTTCTCAACCCTGCCAGCGGGACACTCAGGCCAGGTTAACCTCGGGGTCCCACATGGTCCACTCTGCTGCTGGGGTCCAGACACTGTGGCTTGAAACACACACTGGATGTGGGTCCTGCCCCAAGTCCAGCGAGGACATAGAGAAGGGCCTAAGGCATGCCCATCTCCACTGGGGGGTGATTTCTCACCTTCTCTCTCTCAGTGCCTCCACTCGCCCCCAGGCCAGCGAGCCCACGCCCCGTAGCTAAAACTAAACACACACACACACACACACACACACACAGACAAGATGCCCTGGGGTCACTCCAGGCCAGATCATTCTACATTCCAGGTGTGAGGCCAGGGCTCCTCCTCTGGAGACGCCCATCCCGCAACGCGGACGGTTCTGGTAGCCACGAGGGGGAGCTCCGACCAGGTCATCCAGGCGCCGAGGGGCTGGCTTGCAGGGGTCCCCCAGCAGAGCTCGCTGATCCTCTGTTCCCCCGCAGTGTACCACTGGGCCGAGATGCGGGCCAAGATGCGCCTCCTGGGCTTCAACGCCGAAGCTGTGAAGCCGCTGAACGAGGAGGCGGCGGCCGAGCTGGGAGCGGAGCTGCTGGGCGAAGCCACCATCTTTGTCGCAGCCGGAGGCTGCTTGCTGCTGGAGTACTGGCGCCAGCAGAGGCAGCATCGCCGCAAGGAAACGGAGCGGCAGGCGTCCTGGGCTGCGCTGCGGGATGAGGTGGACCACCTGGCGCAGGCGCTTGAGGGGCTGCAGGTGCAGGTGCAGGCGGCGCCCACGCAGGGCGCCCTGGAGGAGCTGCGCGCGCAGCTGCAGGAGATGCGCGCTGCGCTCTGCGACCCCGACCCTCCGCCCTTGCCCGAGCCAGAGGAGTAGGAAGCCTCAGGGCCCTGGTCTTGGACCTGACATGATTGTCTGGACTGCGACATCTCCCACATGGCCAAAGCTCTGCAGCGTCCCATAGTGAACCGGCCTGGCTGACACTACTTGGTCCTCTCGGGGACCGAAAGGAGCTTGGCCTGGGGCCGATCAACCCGGGCATTTCGTCATCTCTCTACTAACATGCCCAGTGGTACCTTCCACTGGGACCTCCCCCACATGGGTGGAACACTCCAACAGGGACCCTCCCGCGCTCTCACCACGTCCCCGCTAGCACTTTGGCAAGGCAGTTTCGTTCATCCGACCCCACCTATCCACTATTCGGACCAGCAGGACCACGCTTCTCTTTTGGCAAAACGGAATTGGATTCTGCACATGGATTTAGCCAAACTTTGTCACTCACACCCCCCTTACTGAGTCGACCCTTCCCCTGGGACGCTCAGCCGCTGCCGCGGAGCACTCCCTGCCTCCTTACTGGGTACAGACCACCGTAAAGGGAACTTCCGTGGGCCATGCCCGGCTGCACCTTCCAGCCGCTCCCCTTGGCCGGGCGGGACCGGAGGTGTGGATCTCGGAGTGCGCAAACTCGGAGTCAGCCAATAGCTCCTGGCAGACCTACCGGGATCCTCCCCTCCCTCCCTCAGGGGATTGTTTTAGCAGAACCCCCTCTTCCTTTAGTCTTTGGCAGCCCCCTGGCATGGCCGCGCAGGGACTAACTGGTGTTGGGTTTGCTCCATCAGGACAGGGGGGTGGGGAGGACGGATTGGTCCTGATTGGGGCTAATCCATTCTGACTTTGTCTCAGTTGTTTACCTGTCCCAAGTCCTGGACCTGCTGCTGTCCTTTTCTATCACGCCCCCCACCCTCTTCAGTAGCCTAAGGACATACATGTCCCCAACACGTGGGTCACTGCTGCACCCTCCACGTCCTCAGCGCACTCAGGGATTCCCTTCCACCTGCCTTCGGACTGGTTCCCCTGGCCATCCACCCTTTACAGGCCTCGTGGGACACCCCAAAGGAGTATTCCACGCGACTGTCACCTCCCCTGTCTGCTATCAAACCAGACCAAGAAGGGAGGTGTTTATGAGTGCTGTGACTTCTGAATTCTATTTTTTCAGACCGTGTTTTATAATTAAAGGTGCTCTGGGCTTCAGAAGTCATCTTGAGACATGCCTGAGAACCATGAATGTGCACCTGCAAACTGTGTCCCCGGGGCCTTAAAGCTGGGCTGGGAGAGTTCTGTGGAGAGATGGGGCTGCCCTGTGAGCCCTTTCCCAAATGTGACATGGAAGCTGAGGGATGGGACAGTGTGCGGCGACTATGCAGGGTGGTCAGGTGGGTGGGGCGGTGAGGGGCGAGCAGCCTGGTGAGGGGCATGGAGGGGAGGCCCCGGGGCCTGAGGGAACTGGAGCAGGGCAGGGTGTGTGTGGGGGAAGGCAGGTTGGGGAGCCAGGTGTTCCTGAAAGGGGACCATGGGTGGGGCTCACCTCCAGGCTCGTCAGAACAGCCCTTCAAGTCACTCCAGAAATCTTAGCATTTATAAAAACCGGCAGATTTATTCGGCAGGGGCCCATTTTCAAGAAGCTGAAGGTGAAGGTTGAAGGAGAGGTTTCCTCCCCTTTTCCTTTTCCCCCTCATCTTATTTTCTCCAGAGGGTAAATATGGCCTGGACCCCAAAACCTATTCAAATAAAAAACCAAAAAAACTGAGGTTCCAAAAAGTTACAGCATCTTAATTCCTCATAGAAAAGGGGAAGGAGCCAGTGGGAAAGGGAGTCCCTGGGTTGAGGGGAAGTATCCCCAGCCTGATGGGACATTCCCCCCCTTAAATAGCCACCCCAAATGGGGCAAGCCTGGGGTTATAGCATTTAAAAACTCCCACACCCCATATTATCAAAACCAAAGAGAAAAAAAAATTTCCCTTTCCCCCAAAACCCAAATATATATATATTTTTTTCTTAAAAAAAAAAAAAAAAAAAAAAACAACCAAAAATCTTAAGGAAATAAGCGTTAAAGTGA